GTTTTTCTGGTTCATCAGCCATCCATGGCAAAATTTGGGGAAGAATAGAGTCTGAGTTACCAGTCATGAGATCTTATACGTTTAGTTCTATGAGATAATATCAGTCAGTATCATGACAATTATTAATTATGAAGACTTTTATGTGCGTTATGTTTTTTAAATTCACATAAATGCTTAAACATTTACAAAAACTGACATAGCTGATGAAAATGATCTCATAGAACAAAACGTATAAGATCTCCTAAACCTGTCTTTACCACAAACCTTATTTTCGGCGTTTATCCAAAAGCCCTATAGAAACTCCATTCATTTTCCCATAGACTTTGTTCAACGAACCATGGCGGAGTTAGTGCCTACAAAAATACATTATTACTATTGCTCTCTATACATGTTATAAATTGGGAGTTGGTTTTGTGAAGTCTCCACACTTGCAAACGGAAACTCTAATCAAAACCACCCCCCCCTTTCGCTAATTTCACCACCAGCAAAGCATTTAACGTATTTTCTCACCCAACTACACACAATACCCCATAATGACAGTGAAAACATGTTTTTAGAAATGTTTGCTAATTATTGAAAATTAAATACAGAAATGTAAGGGTTGGGGTGAGGTGTGGCCCAGGTGCGGTGCAGGATACACAGTAGGCAGTAGGTATAGATGGTGAAACAAGGATCTTTACTGGTGGTCCCGAAGCCAAAATACAAAATAACGGACTTATCACGATAAAAGAAAGGCGGAGAAAATAAGTCTCCAAAAACCGGGGGTGGTGACAGCCAAAATATGAAATACAACCTAAGACTGAAACAGGGAGAACACTTCTCAAGGACCTGTACTGGATCTCCGATCAGACACTGAGTTGTACTGCTGGACACAGAGAAAACTAGCAGAGAAAAACTTGAGCAAGGGAACACAGGGACGTGAGGGCATAAAATACACAGGTGAACCGATAGACACAGGTGACACCAATAGGATGATTGATTAGTCCCGACTGTGAGTGAGGAGGTGCCTAAGGTTGTCGGAGGATGACACCTAGTGGGTCGCTCCAGAACTGCGACCCCCTCCTGTAACACAGAAATATCTAATTTACATACAGTACCAATCAAAAGTGTGGACACACCTACTCATTCCAGGGTTTTTCTTTATTTTTCTACATTGTAGAATAATAGTGAAGATGTCAAAACTATGAAATAACACATATGGAATCATGTAGTAACCAAAAAATGCTAAACAAATCAAAATTATTTTTTTTTGTTTGAGATTCTTCAAAGTAGTCACCCTTTGCCTTGATGACAGCTTGCACACTCTTGGCAT